AGTGAGTGAAGATTGTGCGGCAACCCGCTTGCGTGCTACAACTTATCGTCTTTGCGGGGGAGCAACTTAAATGATGCAATTTATGTAATTTGGACAAACACTTGAAAACATTTTTTCTATGTTCAAGGTCAAAAAACAGTGGCACGAACAGTATTCCTTTACACATTAAACGCACTGCGATTTGTTTGCGCGTTCAAGAATACATGATGTGATAATAACAATAATGCCCTTTACCCATGACTGCCTCACTGAGTGTCGTTAGTGTTTCAGGAGGGTCCTGCATTTGGATATTTGGTCGATTCCGTTGGGCACTGTCTGAGGACACTGGAGAAACTCCACGCGTACGCCCGGGTATCACTCAAAAGTTCCACAGACGTTAAAACATTCCACTGCTCTACTGACATTGCTGTAGCCTATAACATCTGGTATTCGCAGGCAGCCTCCCATCCAAGTACTAAGCAGGCTCAACCCCACTTAGCTTCTGAGATCGTGTGAAATGGTGTGCATTCAGGGTGATATATTCGTTGGAAAGTCTTGATGATAATTGTTGCTTGCTGTCACGTGGCAATCTGTGACTTCATACCCTCGTATACGCGATTACATCGTTGGATTTTGCTTTGTAAAATAAGTTTCAACATAGGCACACACCACGGCAACTGTAAAGCATCAAGCTGCATGCCAAGAGGCGCCCCATTTAGAGTTCAGTGCAAACGTATTAATGAATGAATATGTAAATATATGAATGACTATTTAAGTACATTAATGAATGGATATAAACCAAAACGTACCAAAAACTAATTTCAACCCCAAGAGATTGGAAGAAGAAGAAAAAAAAACTACCGGCACTTTGTCCATTGTTTCATCAAGTGGATCCAACCCGTTCATAATCCTGCAATGTGTGGCCAATTGATGAAACGTGTGTTGCGAGTTATTAAATATCATTCCGTTGGTTCCGAGGTGCCATAGTAACACTGTGGGCAGCCTTACTCTGCCATGTGCACACTTTAAGCAGTTCTTTCTCAAATGATGACATGGTGGATTGGCGTAGCGCAGTGCACTTGCAATCCAGAGGTTGCGAGTTCAATTCTATCGCCTGGCACGGCAATTGAAGCATTAGTGCAAGCTTCTTAAATCTCACATGACCACCTCTGTCCACCCAGCGGAATAGCCATCGAACAAAGACGGTAACCGCGTCGCACGCTTTCCGACGCGCTTCTGCGACCGTCTGGAACGTTCGATGTAAAGCTTTCTTGACTGCAGGGATTCATCTTATTGGTTCTTTCGGTAAAGTCACGTAGAAGGGAAATAATAAAATTATACAAATAAAACATAATAAAATAATTCTCACGACGTTTCGGCCACAACGCAAGCAGCCGTCCAGACCTGTTCTTCACCTGAGGACGGCTGCTTGCGTTGTGGCCGAAACGTCGTAAAAATTATTTTATTATGTTTTATTTTTATTATTTTATTATTTCCCTTTTACGTGACTTTACCGAAAGAACCAAGAAGATCTGGAACGTTCTTCCTTCCGTAATTAGGAAGTCACTGGAGCTGTGCACTTTAAATCTAGATTTAAAACTAATTTCCTTAGAACTACTTCTTGTGTTTAGTTAGTTGTCTTTCCCACTGTTGGCTACGTAGCTTGCGGAAGAAGTTCAACATACATACACCACGCTAGCATTGCCCAAACAAAATAAATGTAGCATCGTACGTTTGATATTTTGTGTGTAAACAAGGCACACAAGGAGGTATCTTTCCGATGTGGATGAACAGAAAAAATACTGTAGAACTTGACTCCACATATTAAAACACACAGCCTCGTCATTATTCGATCGCTGGGATGAACAAGTGTTGCGAGTGGTGGGGTATAAAGTACGATGACTCCCACTCCTTCTGAGATGCCCGCAACAGCGCGGTTGCGTCTTGAGAGACTCTCTCTCCTCTCATCCGCCAGCAGTTGTGTGGGCAAACAGTGGCACGAGCATGTGACGGACAAAATGATCTCGCCACAAGAGGCGGAACGTGCCTTTGACCATTGCATAAAGTGCGCAATTGAGCAAAAAAAGAAACCCGCACAAATTTCTCAGAAATCAGATACATAGTTCAAGAGCGCCACAACACAAGTTTCTCTCTGTGTGTCTGTCTGTGTGTCTCTGTGTTGTCTCTCTGTGTGTCTCTGTTGTGTGTCTATGTTGTGTGTCTCTCTCTCTGTGTGTCTCTGTGTTGTCTCTATCTGCTTGTGTGTCTCTCTCTGTGTCTCTGTGTTGTCTCTCTCTGTGTGTCTATGTTGTGTGTCTCTCTCTCTGTGTCTATGTTGTGTGTCTCTCTCTGTGTGTCTCTGTGTTGTCTCTCTCTGTGTGTCTCTGTTGTGTGTCTCTCTCTCTGTGTCTCTGTTGTGTGTCTCTCTGTGTTGTCTCTATCTGCTTGTGTGTCTGTCTCCGTGTCTGTGTTTTGTCTCTCTGTGTGTCTATGTTGTGTGTCTCTTCCTGTGTCTATGTTGTGTGTCTTTCTCTGTGTGTCTCTGTGTTGTCTCTCTCTGTATGTCTGTCTGTGTGTCTATGTGTGTCTCTCTCTCTGTGTGTCTCTGTGATGTCTCTGTCTGTGTGTCTATGTTGTGTTTCTCTCTCTGTGTGTCTCTGTGTTGTCTTCCTCTGCTTATGTGTCTGTCTGTGTGTCTATGTTGTATCTCTCTCTGTGTCTCTGTGTTGTCTCTCTCTCTGCTTGTGTGTCTGTCTGTGTGTCTCCGTGTCTGTGTTTTGTCTCTCTCTCAAATTTAGTCTCTCTCTGTGTGTATGACGACTGCTCGTGTTGCAATCAAAACGTCGTTTTCTATCATTTAATTTATTGTCTCTCTACGTGACTTCACCGAAAAAACCAACGAGTAATTCCTGCAGTCACGAAAGCTTCAAATCAAGCTTCGCCTTGCCACCAACACCAACCCGCACCGCCGATTAGCACGGTCGCCTAACGTACGGTGCGAAAGAAGTTCTCCATACATACGCGCGTGCGACCATCACTTGCTGACCATTATTGCGACGAATCATGACACGCGATCCCCTTTTAGTCACAGTTACAGTGGAGCCTCAGACAGACAGCGAGCCAAGAACATGCCGTTTCGTTTTTTTTAAAGTCACCGATTCATTACATATTCGTTACGGGGCCGTCCATAAATGACGTCACGCACCTAGGTGGGGGGGGGGGTCAGATATTTGTGACAATGTGTGACGAGAGAGGGGGGGGTTTGAGAAATGTGACGTCACATCAAAATGCGCAACTTTAAATAAATATAGACAACACGTTCTACTTAATTAAACCGACTTTTTTTTATAAATGTTTTCTCCTACAACATCAGAGTGCAGCGCCACATTAAATACGCACTACAATGACAATAGTTTAAAGCGATTTGAAGCATTATGGGAACCTCATTTGCCAGCAAAAATATGATAATTGGTTCTTTACCCTTCTATCTGGCAACAAAACTGCCAGATAGAAGGGTAAAGAACCAATTATCACGATTTGAAGCATGTTTTATTTTCAAAATGAGGGGGGGTCTGACTTTTTGTGACGTCGTGTGACGAAGGGGGGGGGGGTAAAAAATCGTCCAAAATCGCGTGACGTCATTTATGGACGGCCCCTACAGTAAAAATGCAAAGTGAGAGTGCTTGTGACGGCTTGCTCACTCCACTGATGGCGGAAGGGCCTACGCTGGAGGGAGTGCTGGAGAGGCCCCGTCTCCTTGTTCACGCTGAGCAGACCTACCGGGAGACGAATGAGTCGACACACACACGGGGAGTCGCTCATCGGCGAACTGTCGTTGCGCCCGTTTATTATCTCCCAAAAAAAAAACCCATTGAAACTATGAAACATCTTCTTGGTTCTTTCGGTAAAGTCACGTAGAATGGAAATAATAAAATAATAAAAATAATACATAATAAAAAAAATTTGCTTTCCTTTTATTATTTTATACAAATAATAAAAATAAAACATAATAAAATAAATAAGTATGTTTTACTTTTATAATTTTTTATTTTCATTCTACGTGACTTTACCGAAAGAACCAAGAAGATGAATCCCTGCAGTCACGAAAGCTTTAAATCGAAACTATGAAACATGTTTACGAGCGGAGGCCCACTGAGCTGTAACAGCTCTTTTTCAGAGGCGACCTGCCCACAAATGACAGCTCAACGAAGTGGCTTATCATCGTGTGTGGACATTAACAGCAGTCAAATTATCTAAACGCGTTCTTTTCAAAAATGTGGAGGAGGAAAAAAGGACCCAGAGAGAAACAAAAATCCACGCGGCCACGGAGAGAGAGACACGCAAACCCCAAACATACTGCACGCGTCAGGATCGGGATCGAACCCACGACGCCGTGGCACTGGGTGGACAATGGCGGTGAAGGGGGGTGGGGATTGAAACAACGTGCACCATTGTTTCAACTGCCACACCGGGAGAGATGACCTCTGGATTGCGAGCGGAGTGTTGCGAACCATTGCGACAAAATGTTCGGGGGTCAATTCTTCCTCGCTGTCTTTGCCGTGGGCATGGGGCTGGCATCAAGTCTTTGCCGCCACCTAAACCACCCCCATCTCTCTCTCTCTCCTCTCCACCCGTCGGTAATCCCGCCGAGTTTGGAGATTGCTCCGTCCGCCGTGCCAATCAGAGGGCCCTAACGCAACGCGAATCGGCTTTGTTAAATTGTCGCCCGCTTTGGTGGCCCAGTTGGGCTGAAGCGAAATCTGCGTCGTGTTTTCCCCACTGGCTTTGTTCGATAATAGATTGTTCACATTGAGGGGGCTGGGTTGGGAGACTGTGGGTGGTGGGGGGGGGAGAAAGAGGCTTGTGAGGATTGAGGGTAGGCTAGTTGAGGGGGGTGGTGAGAGCTGGGGAGTGGAGTGGAGACTTCGAATTGACAGCGGGCGGAGGGGAGGGGGAAGAGGCTGGTGAGAGTGGAGGAGGGTGTAGGCAAGACTTGTGAGGTACCCATTCTGTTACAGCCATTAAGGCGGGCAGTGTGAGTGTGGGTGGGTGAGTGTGGGAGCGGACACAGAAAGCCGGGAAAGACAGGAGGCCAGGAGTTTGTAGGAACTTCAGGGAGGTTAGCCCGTGTGTGTGTGTGTAATGCTGCTGGTGCAACACATTTAATCACATTCACTTGCCCGTCTCACACAACCCAGACAAGCGTTGCAGCTCTGCCCAGCCAGGTTCTGACCACCAAACAATTATTCCATCGCCTCTTGCCATGGATTTATGCCGGCCTATTCAAGCGAAAGTCCCGCTGTCTGGTGCTGCATCTTTCTTGCTGCCGCTGCTGTTCCTGCTTCTGTCATCCACGATCCAAAGTAAGAAACTTTCAACGTTTCACGTTTTCTGAAGTTGGCTGTATCTTGTTTTGTGCGTGTGTGTGTTTGTTTAATTGCTTTTTCGGCTGGCGGTGAAAGTTGCGTGCACCATAAATGTGTGTTCAGATTCGCGAAGCGCGTGGTGACCAGATCAAGTTTCCCGTCTGTCGCATAAAATAAGTTGATAACGGATTAAGTGATTTCAACACAAAAAGATAAATCAACAGCGACATTGCAGGTGTGCAATTCAAGCTCGGTCGTTGCTCGTCAACAACCTTTCGATCGGCAGAACGTTTCAATGCGCGCGCCCGTGACAAGAGACGTTTAAAGTTTTGCTAGGGGTTCTTTTTGTTGTGTTCCCCCCCCCCCCCCTGTTCCCGGGCTGACGCGTGCATTTTACGTGCCCTGAATACGCGAAACGCCACCCAGTCGCCAAAAGCCTCCATTCCGATGCCGCAATGCGTTCGGAGCATCCCGTGAGTGCTGTTGAACTCCTCGAGCCTTCAGCTTGAGGATGACAGCTGTTTTTGAAATGCAGCGCGTAGTGTCGTTGACAACACATCGATTATATTTCACAGTGTCCCACTGATTGCCAGTGCAGTCCCCGCCCCCCCACACCGCCAGCGCCATATGCATTAAGAGCATAATATTGATGGGATTTATAATAGCTCTGCTTTGCCGGATCAATGATATGTACACGTGTAAAACGTGGTTGTTCTACAATTAGCACGGTTGGCTACATACGGTGCGAAAGAAGTCGAACATACATACATGCAGGACACACTGGAATTCATAAAAATGTGATGTTGCGTAATAATAGTAGGATTGTATGTAATTTACACGGATAAAACATGTATGTACTGTTATTGTAAAGTGTATGTCATCGTACGACTTGACCAGAGAGCCATTGTTGGTTTCGTATTAAATGAACTGATAGCTGAGTAGTGCAAGGATATGTGGTGAATAAATATAAAACATCGTAACAAATCTCTGCCATAATAAGCTATCTGGGCTCTCCACCATTGGCTCAAGACCTCCAATAGAGATGAAGGCGCATTATCTTATCGTGAGCCTTGAAGGGCAATACATAAATATGTAAATAATGTATCAACTGGGAAAAGACGCGTGCCTTGTATGTCTCTCGATCAGCGTCTGCTTAACCAAGCAAATGTGGCTGGTGAAAAATTCTGGGTCACATCAGCAGAGCAAGGCTGATTAAATACATAACTTTGGTTTATCGGATGTCATTGGCAAGAGCACTCAGAAATCACTGTGGGGAAGCCCTTTTCAACGCAAAAAACCCCCCACAAATATTATATACCAACTCAGGAGCTGTTGCGGACAGATGTGTTTCAGTGTAAGAGCACACTTTGACCTTTGACTCATCTGAAAAAAACATTCTCAAAAATATGTTTACCAAAATACACTTGAAGCCAAAGGATGGAACACCTCCGTCAGGTCATCTGCGGATGAGATTTGAGTTATACAATCAGTAGTAGTGTGCGTGTGCTGGGCGGATTCTCCACTATTGGATCACGAGAGATGGCAGTCACTTCGAAAGCCCTTCCTTCATCCAGCAATCAATTGCGCAAGGCTGACCAATATATGTTGATGATACTTCATGCACCACAACACACTCGTTGCATGGAGGTGCAAATAATTTATGGATTTAATTTGAACCTCAACTTGTCGCACACAATCAACAAGCATCCAAACACTTTTTTGCATACTCTTTGGTTCTTTCGGTAAAGTCACGTAATGATAAAAAAAAATGTTTGCTTCTGTGCAAACTACACAAACCTAATTATCGAAGTGGTGAATTGTATCAGGGATGATTTAAATGTTGCTCGTACTTGCTTGGCTTTGGGAGGTGTTCTGGCACCGATAGTCCAGCAGATGGAAGTTGTGTTGACTGTCCCTTCCCACCCCCTGTTGAGTTTATCTGCTGAAGCAATCAGAGGGGGAGGCAAGCCGTAGGAAAGGAGCGGTAATTACCAAGTGCTGTCGTTTGGCTGATAGACGACGATCGCTGTCGGAAACATGATGGCAGCTCAAGAGATGTGAAAGTGGTGGAACTGAGTGAGTCATCTTTGAGTTGACCGTTGGAAAAATATTTGTTGCAATCGAACACCATAGTTTTTTGGTAAAACAAAAACTGAAAGATAAAGGTGCAGCCCTGCAATTGCTTGTTCGTGCCACTGCTGACAGAAGGGCCTCCACTAGAGGGAGCTCTAGCCAGCCCCTCTACAGCGCATTTTAGCCAACTCTTCAATCCTTTTGCTTCCTGTCCAGACGTCTTGAAAGAGTCACGTGTGGTCAATCTGAGTTTCAAATTGTAGGGCCTCAAAAGCCATTCTGTGTGATGTTAATGCAGCTTAAACCTTTATCCATGTTCTGTTCATATTCGTTATGCAATGAAGGGTGTTCTTACCCACAACAACTCACTGTCCATACAGTTGGCTCTGGTTGAGAGCAGTCAGCTTAAGTCACAAAAAAACTACTGTAAATGTTCATTTTGTAGTCATATGGAGGGAATTTAGAAAACAACTACTTAAATTTTTTTTTTAAAGTGCTTTAATGACATTGGAAAAGTTTATCTATACGTGTGGATTGTGACGTTTTGTTTTTTTGTCACACCCCTCAAATTACGTTTTTCATTTGTTTCAAACAAGCCAAGCAGTGGAATTGATAAGGTTTTAAAATTTCTACCTTAACACTTAATTGTTTTTTATTGAACCGGAGGCTGTAGAGTGGTTTGCATTTTGAAACTTCTGAAATGTTTTGACGTTACATTTAATCTGTCGTCCATGCTAATGTGCTTATCCAATTGGCACTTTTTGGCAGAGCATTAAACTCAGAACCTAAGGTTGTGAGTTCAACTCCTGGGTGCGGGTAACTCAGCAAGTAATTTTTGCTCGTTTATAAATTCGCACCACTTTTGGGAATTCAATGGTGGATATACTTGTATGGGAAAGACTGGTCCCCACCATAGGAACGTGGAATGTCCTCATCTTTCTCAGGACCACCAGGGGAGATAATGTACAGTAAGTACAAAATATGCACGTAAATAATCGTAATAATCTAGAGTTTTTTTTGTCATTCCACTGTTGGATGAAGGCCTTCCAACACCTGCGAAAGAAGTTCTATATACATATTGTGCTTATCATGAAAATTGGTTGAACATACTTCACCACACTGGTCAGTGCAGGTTGGTGAAAGGAGAGGGCTCAATGATTAGTTCAGATGTCACTCACCACACCCACCGTGCCACCACTACCCACAGAAGCAGGTGCAAACTAAAGAGTAAACAAAGCGACAGTGAATGATAATAATAATACTGACGTAATAAATGTAACCTGTACATTAATATACATTACACAACCGTGCACATATCCTCTTTAATAATTATTCGTAACACATAGCCTTCCTAGGCAAAGAACACATACAGTCAGTGGTCTTAAAGTGCAAGTTATGACCTGCAGGTACACCAAAGACAAAGGTCCCCCGTGTAGCCTTAACAGTTTTGGGACAGCACTACGCCCGGCCGCACCAGGTACTCATTTGAGGCTGAGCTGACCTTGGGGAGGCCCAGGACCGGTTCAGATAATCCTCGCTGGGTGTTGGCGATCGAGCGAGAATCGAACTCGGGTCGCCAGGTTCGCTGCGCTAACCACTATGCTACCGCGGCTACATCACCGCATCACTCACAATCCACCAGGCCCAGTATTTGGCACGTGGCTTGTGTTAGAGCTACAAGGAGGGCACCGAACTCCCACAAACATTCAGCCACATCACAGACGATCCTCTTGGCAGGCGTTATTGGTGCCCTGGAAGATATCCATGTGTCCTTGTTTTACAAATGTTGTGAGAAGGAGAAAACTGCACCTGTAACTCTGCCGTGTGTAAGTGCAAGGTGGTGAGATTGCATCTGGCTTTGTAAGCAGTTGGGTGTCCATTTATGAAGTAACAATAATTATAATTGATGGCCCTGTGTCATTCCGCTGCTAGATGAAGACATTCCCGTGCAATATCGGTCGTGGGGTTTTGTTTGACCACGCGTCACCATGCTGGTCAGTGCAGGCTGGTGAAGACTTTCTTCCCACCGATGTTAGCCATTTGGGAATTGAACTCAGGTGTCAGGGCTCATAGCGCAGCGTGCTAACCACTGTGCCACTGCTCCCCCATTCTAAAAAAGAGAATTGGTGAGCAATGGCTTTCAACAAAACTGCACAGCACATGGCATCTATTTGTAAATTAATTGTGGACTCGAATAGCTTCATAATGTTGAACGTTTCCAAATGTTTTAGTTTCAATGCTACGTAATATGTTATGGTTCAAAATTAGCATCGCTATCAGCACTTCATCTTCCGTTTTCTATCATCAAACTTTTATCTCTCAGGCAAGCATTGATTATTATCAAATGCTGATCACCACTATGATCCTATATCCTTACCGCTGCTAGGCGTGCCTTGTACTCATGGGCAGGGAGATGTGTTGGTCGGGGACATCCCTGCATGGGTCCCTTCACGCGTGGATATCTTCAGGCTGTCACTGAAGTATGAATATATCTTATCCAGCCTGTCCAGACTTGAGAGCACAAGCCTGCTCTTTATAATGCAGCTGTTATCATTGGCGATAACTCACTGACACTCCGCAGGTCACATGCCGGCACTGAGGTTAAAGTCCACTTACGTCCCATAGACGTGCCTCTGCAGTAACCTGTCAGTGTAGTTTTTTTCATTCTTATTCTTCTGTTACTTACTCGCATGTGGGCGCGTAGGGGTGGCGCCCATACGCATGAGTGTACGCTGATTCATGAGCGTGTTTTCTGAGCAAGCACACTCGAGGCCGCGTGTGTATGTGTTTTAATAGGGGGGGGGGAGACACCTTGTGAAAGACCCAACGCAGAAGATCCCTGGTTTTGATCTCCCACGAAGCTCATGGTCCTCCCTAAACCGCATCCGGACAAACCATGGCAGATGCGCGGATACCTGATGCAC